ACATTGTACCTCAAAGCAGATACTTCAACCGGAGACCTGGTGAGCCATGTTAATTTTGGTCATACTTAAGTTTTGTGGCTATGTCAATTGTATAGTTTACTCACAGGACCATCAATCGATATATAAAACCTTTCAGAAATTAATGTGAGGAGAACAGATACAAAAGAATACACATTTCAAGAAAACTTTTTCGTTACACTTTAAAAGAAAAAGAGCAAAAAATTTGAAATAGGCATGATGGAAATATAAGTTTTCAACACGTCATGGCATGTTTATTCTGCAATTTCATGTATAGATCAATCGGTCTCCTTGATAGCCAATAAAATAGATTTGAAGCAAAGATAGGTTCCTAGAATTTTGTGATTATTACCAATCCATATGATAAACATATATTCTCCATAAGATGATTCATCTGATATACTCCGAACGAGTAAATTCAATTATTTTCCTGTAGAGCTAATCCTTTCTCGATTGCTATTTATGCTAAAGTATTTGCTGGAATGTTTCACAGATGTTTCATAGTAAGAACTTTTACAGGTCTTTGGTATCAAGCAGAGTCTGTTTTCCGCGACTGGGCCATGAAATATGGTTCTGTGTACGTCATTTCTGGGTCAATTTTCGACGCTGACAATGATGGATTTCGAGACAAAGATGAGCAGACTAAAAGGTAATTTTACATACATGGATAACTGCCGAGACTAGTTGCTGATTTTGTAATGACATATTAGACTTGATTCAGATTGCTTCCTATCCAATGTTTCGTATTTATTGCTACCGTATTTCTCAAAGAAAACTTTGGCTCTCATATTGTGCAACTTTTTGAGCTGAGTGGTTCTGTTTATGTGGCTGCTTCCGTCAAATTCGATACACGTGTACCCATCATAATGACTTTTTGACTTTTTAATATTTAGTGTATAGCCATAACTGTAAGGATTTGGTATATTTGCTGTAAGTCTTTTTACGCAAAGTTTTTGTATACAGTGCTATCAAAACCACGCTTAAAATGCTAAAGGAACAACTGTCTGCTGATCAAAAAGTACTGTGATGATGCAGATAGCGTTTCATGAAAAAGGATCAACGCAAACATTTACCCAAGATACGCAATAATGATTGTTTATTGATTGTGCAAACCTGATTCATTTCTTACAGTATTGAATTGTTTCGTGTAAATTCAACTGCTATACCCGTGCTACTAATACTTACCTGTGTGTAGAAGAGTTTTCGAGGTTTTTTGCTATTGGCCGAAGGAAAGATGAACCGATTCCAGGCTGTAATAGCAGTTGCATCGTAGTGTTGTTTTTAAAAATAACTGTCTATATTGTGAAGGTGGACACATGACAAGAAAAATGGAGTGGCTATACCAACGCATTTCTACAAGATTATTGTAAGGTGTGACGTAAGCAATACGACAGAATCGGCCACTCCAGGCTGCGGTGGGACTTTGAAGGCTATGTCGTTCGTATTTCCACACAACGAAGAAAAAGGATGCCAGGTAAGTCAAATGCTAGCATGTAATTACAAAGTGATGCTAGCCTCGTTTCGTCATATGCCAGCATTGTTATCAAACCAAGTCTAATCATTTGAGGGTTTTAAAGGCTACGATCACTAGTGGATGTTTTGCAACGCTTATTATGACTGACTTTGCTGCTTCTTAAAAAGAGACATGCAAGTTTAAAAAGAGACATGCAAGTTTAAAAAGAGACATGGAAGTTTAAAAAGTGACATGCAAGTTTAGAAAGAGACATGCAAGTTTAAAAAGAGACATGGAAGTTTAAAAAGAGACATGGAAGTTTAAAAAGTGACATGCAAGTTTAAAAAGAGACATGCAAGTTTAAAAAGAGACATGAAAGTTTAAAAAGTGACATGCAAGTTTAAAAAGAGACATGGAAGTTTAAAAAGAGACATGAAAGTTTAAAAAATAACATGCAAGTTTAAAAAGAGACATGGAAGGTTAAAAAATGACATGCAAGTTTAAAAAGAGACATGCATGTTTAAAAAGTGACATGCAAGTTTAAAAAGTGACATGCAAGTTTAGAAAGTGACATGCAAGGTTAAAAAATGACATGCAAGTTTAAAAAGAGACATGGAAGTTTAAAAAGTGACATGCAAGTTTAAAAAGTGACATGCAAGTTTAAAAAATGACATGCAAGTTTAAAAAATGACATGCAAGTTTAAAAAGTGACATGGAAGTTTAAAAAGTGACATGCAAGTTTAAAAAGTGACATGCGAGTTTTAAATATTACATGGAAGGTTAAAAAGTGACATGCAAGTTTAAAAAATGACATGCAAGTTTAAAAAGTGACATGCATGTTTAGAAAGTGACATGCAAGTTTAAAAAGTGACATGCAAGTTTAGAAAGTGACATGCAAGTTTAGAAAGTGACATGCAAGGTTAAAAAATGACATGCAAGTTTAAAAAGTGACATGCAAGTTTGAAAAGTGACATGCAAGTTTAAAAAATGACATGCAAGTTTAAAAAGTGACATGGAAGTTTAAAAAGTGACATGCAAGTTTAAAAAGTGACATGCAAGGTTAAAGAATGACATGCAAGTTTAAAAAGTGACATGCAAGGTTAAAAAGTGACATGCATGTTTAAAAGTGACATGCAAGTTTAAAAAGTGACATGCAAGTTTAGAAAGTGACATGCAAGTTTAGAAAGTGACATGCAAGGTTAAAAAATGACATGCAAGTTTAAAAAGAGACATGCAAGTTTCAAAAGAGACATGCAAGTTTAAAAAGTGACATGCAAGGTTAAAGAATGACATGCAAGTTTAAAAAGTGACATGCAAGGTTAAAAAGTGACATGCATGTTTAAAAGTGACATGCAAGTTTAAAAAGTGACATGCAAGTTTAGAAAGTGACATGCAAGTTTAGAAAGTGACATGCAAGGTTAAAAAATGACATGCAAGTTTAAAAAGAGACATGCAAGTTTCAAAAGAGACATGCAAGTTTAAAAAGAGACATGCGAGTTTCAAAAGAGACATGCAAGTTTAAAAAATGACTTGCAAGTTTAAAAAATGACATGCAAGTTTAAAAATTGACATGCAAGTTTAAAAAATGACATGCAAGTTTAAAAAATGACATGCAAGTTTAGAAAATGACATGCAAGTTTAAAAAATGACATGCAAGTTTAAAAAATGACTTGCAAGTTTAAAAAGTGACATGCAAGTTTAAAAAGTGACATGCAAGTTTAAAAAGAGACATGGAAGTTGAAAAAGAGACATGCAAGGTTAAAAAGTGACATGCAAGTTTAAAAAGTGACATGCAAGTTTAAAAAGTGACATGCAAGGTTAAAAAGTGACATGCAAGTTTAAAAAGAGACATGCAAGTTTAAAAAGAGACATGGAAGGTTAAAAAGTGACATGCAAGTTTAAAAATTGACATGCAAGTTTAAAAAATGACTTGCAAGTTTAAAAAATGACATGCAAGTTTAAAAAGTGACATGCAAGTTTAAAAAGAGACATGGAAGTTGAAAAAGTGACATGGAAGTTTAAAAGGTGGCATGCAAGTTTAAAAAGTGACATGCAAGTTTAAAAAGAGACATGCAAGTTTAAAAAGTGACATGCAAGTTTAAAAAGAGACATGGAAGGTTAAAAAGTGACATGCAAGTTTAAAAAGAAACATGCAAGTTTAAAAAGTGACATGGAAGTTTAAAAAATGACTTGCAAGTTTAAAAAGTGACATGCAAGTTTGAAAAGTGACATGCAAGTTTAAAAAGAGACATGGAAGTTTAAAAAGTGACATGCAAGGTTAAAAAGTGACATGCAAGTTTAAAAAGTGACATGCAAGTTTAAAAAGTGACATGCAAGGTTAAAAAGTGACATGCAAGTTTAAAAAGAGACATGCAAGTTTAAAAAGAGACATGGAAGGTTAAAAAGTGACATGCAAGGTTAAAAAGTCGATTTGCATGGCGCCGGGATAACATTTTCACAATCTATCAATCTTTTTTGAAGAAGTAGTATATAAATTAGATTGAAACTGCCTGGTGTTCCAAGTAAAATTTGAAGTAGCTCAAAACCGTCGGCAGTTTTTCTGAAATATCATTCAGCCTGATGCAAAACAATCTTCACAAATAATCATCTGACACAAATTTTTGTAATTGAAATGATGAAATCAGTCTCATTTTGTCTCATTTTGTCTCTCCTCATTTTGTCTTTCCTCATTTTGTCTCTCCTCATTTTGTCTCTCCTCATTTTGTCTCTCCTTATTTTGATCATATTTGCTCTTTTCCCTCTTGCAGCTCAGGGACTGGAAGAAACAGATGCTTTTCTACACAGCCTCGATCAACGACATTGAAAAACTGACAGGTTCGCGTTTTTTTCAAAATCTGCCGTATCCTTTCGCTGCCCGTTTCAAGTCGGCCCTTCCATCTGAGCTATGGCCCGTGACTACCTTTTAACGACGTGTGTTGATCTTACAAACATAGCATTTCAAATTTTGATATATATATCCTAGGTAAATAATATTTAATTATTCACTTTGTATGATTTGTTTTAATTTTACTGCTAGTTTATAAAAAGATCATTGATTTTACTTAGACCCTACAATTGATGAACAATGGATCAACCCTTTTTAACTTTGACTGTAAGATCGCCTTTATTGTAAATGCTTTATAAGCAGCATCTTCGCTGTATATTTTAAACGTTATTAAAGAATCTTTAAGTTTACTTGTTTAAGTCTTAAATTTAAGTTTTTGGACTTGCATTTAAGATATTAGGACAAGTAATTAAGTGTTCAATAAAAATGTCAAGGAAATAAGGAGATGATATAGTTTTTTGGCGGTACAGAACTAGAAAATTGCCTTGAAAAAGCAAACATTTTACAACATATTAACTAAAAGCTTTTTCGTCTGACACTCCTCAGATCATAAAACGTCAGAATAAGTGTCCGAAAAAACACGATGAAAAATATATACCCAGTTGTGGATCGAAAAAGGCCAATCAGAAAAACGCAAGCACAAGACCGGTATAGTTGACCAATCAGTGCCGCGTGCCTTAAGAAAAATTACCACTGGAGTCCAAGAGAGAAAACGAACTCCTTCTGTCTACACAATGGTGGCTTTTTCGTTTGTATGTAGATCGATTCCAAAACTGCTAGATGGAAGGACGACCGGGCTCTGTCAATTATCCAAAACATGTCGTCATTTTAGAGTTTTGCACAATCTAGGTTGTCTAAAAGATGTTGACCTATGGCAGAATCACTTGTTTTAACAGTGCTGCTAGACCTACAAGATCGAGGAGGCTATTCTCTTTGACGGGCAGTTTTGTTTCTTATGTTGGAAGGAACATGCTGTTTCATCCTATCCCCCAATCTTTGGGTTGTGCGTCCTACGTACAAAGAGAACAACGAAATGATATAAGAAAATAGAAACTTCGAATGGTGCTTGGCAGCACCGCATTGTAAACATGATAACGATTTTCCCAGTTTCTGTCTCTCCTATATTGTTTCAGAAATAGTTTTCACAAAAAATATCATTAAAAGTGAATGCATTAACCACAAAAAGATTCGTCTTTATAAAATTTTTATCGACTGAATTTCAATAAAGAAGAGTCATTGTCTCGACGAAAGCTATTGGGCTGAGAATTTTGAGAATCCAAACTAGACAATGCGATAACATCGTTGTTCTAATTCTCATCATAATCATAATCATGACCATCAGAGTCTTCATTTTCAGCTCTTGATTTGTCAGACTGTCAGACAAACTGCGTTTATATTCACCATCTTTTGATAGAAAAAAAATTCATGTGTGGCTCTAAATACCCGAGCAGTAATGTCTGATTTGAACAATTGTAAAAGTAATTTAAATCGTGCTCTGTAATCGAAGGGAAACGGATAGAGCCAGTGTGCAATTATTACAATTTTTTATTGCGAAAATGTTACGAACAGCGTTTGGAGCTCCTGTTAATTATGATAGCTGGTAGGTCATTTGCTACTGTTTCAAAAGAACAACAAGAATAATTTGTGTAAGAAAGCATTGTTGATTGATGCTTCGATTTCAGGATCACATTTAATGTTTCATTTAAAAAAAAGGAGAATACAAATTACTTGTTCATAAAATGATATAAAATAAAAACTGCTCCAAAGGAATGATTTCTAAAAACTATTCGATAATTAACATTTATTTTTAAAAAGCTTACTGAAAATGTCTAGTTTTTTATGTTTCATCAGGTATTTCGATAATTAACATTTAATTCTAAACCTTTTTTCCTTCTAAAAGTTTACTGAAAATGTCTAGTTTTTAAGTTTCATCAGCTGCTTTGAGACTGTACGTCTCGCTTTAACATCCAAGCATAGTGCAAACAAAAATGCTTGATCCAGATAACTTCCCAGGTCCCTTGGATCGTGATCTAGTGTTTCCACGACCATGAGATCTTTATCTCCAATCTTCAACATACTTTTGTGGTTGTTGCTGCTACTTTCATTCTCTAATATGAAATAGAAGTAGTCGCATTCAGTTTGCTTGATAACATGGAAAGCAGCCTTTTCTGGAAACGGCGATCCAAGTACCACCTGAGGAAATAGTATTTTAAACATGAGATATATGAAGGCCGCAATTACAAAGCTGCTCGACGGATAATTGAAGAAGGCCACAAATACTAAAGCGTGCTGAGAGTAAAGACAAACCACAACAAATGAATTAGTAATATGTAACTAATACTTTGAAACATTGACATGTTTATTAAGCAGTCTTTGAAACCGCGCAAAATATAAAAAACATCTTTCGAAGAGTGATAATTTCATCTTTCCCCGATGTGCCTTTTCTCCATACAATCAAAGCAAAATCTGTATATCTCTAAAGCAGTTTGGTTCTAGAAATTTTCAGGATAAATGTTATAGAATGATAAAAATAAATAATAAAATAATAGAAAGGCAGGGTTGTGGCAAAGTATTTTGTGAAAAGTCTTTCTGAGGAGGCGTTTTAGACTTGGCCTATGTAGTGACGATTAGATTAAAAACATCGCATTCCTGAAAATTGTTGCATGGGTCACAAACCCACGACGATGAAAAATATGTCGATTTCAATAATTGAAAAAGCCAATCGATTGTCTCTGAATAATTATCAAATAATTTATCATTTTCTAGCATCTTACCAGTTGGGCAAAGACTGCGTTTTCGATGCATTGTACGTAATACACTTGCTCTTGATGCTGGATTCGCAAATTGTACAGGTCGAGACCAGGAACCGGCTCTAAAAACATCCCTGAAAATTGATTTAATGCTCATGAAGAATGGTGTTATGCAATTTTTTATTTTGAAAGGTTATAAAGTGCAGTGAAGGTATCCACTACAGCCTTAAAACCAGTTGTGCAGTAAGGGCCCCAATATTGGAGGTGCGACGATTGATTGTAGGCAACGCACAATGCCTGCCAAAAGTCTTGCAATCCCCCCTGACGAACACTGACGTCAGTTTGCAAAGTTAAAATCAATCCCCCCCTCCCCCCAAAGGAACAATGTTGGTTTACTATGAAACGGGTTAGGATTTTAGGAAGCACTTTCTTTGCGTTTTTGTATGATTTTTCACTAAAACATCAACATTGTTCTAGAGGGAAGGGGGGAGGGAAGTAATAATTTTTTTTCGGAAAAGTGATAAAATGCAACACAATTTGCTGGGTGTTCAAAGTACTTTTGGCAGGCATTGCAGTTTCAGGGCCACGCAGTTAAATGCGCTGTACTGCCTTTCAAATAAAGATATCTCTCGAAACAAAGAAGCTTATGAAGCTTAGCTTAGATATCTTATTCGTTAGCATAGTTTCGTCTCGCCTATTTGACTTCCTCTTCCTGTGAACTGAGAGCATTTTTGGGAGTACTGGCTTACTATGAAATTAACTTGCCACAAAAGGAAAAGGAAAAACCTTATTATCTGGTTTCGATAAGATTTCATTTCAAACATCATTTATTTATCGTTTCCAGCTCACATAAACGAGCCCAGAGGAAAATGTTTGGGGACAACATCCTCTGAAGTTCTAGAAAGGACTCATTTCTGAAATAGTCTTATGACATTACATCCTTCCAGAAATATTTCTCGACGTTTTTATTTAGAGACATAACTATAGTGTGAGGTTGTTCTTACTTGTAATATTTGCAGTTGTCCCTCGACTTGTCAAAGGATAGTTTGCAACACCGATTGCAGATTCACCAAGTGCTAAATAGCCTTGTCCTTCCGAGTGAACTGGGCACCAGATGCGGTAAGGTCCAGGAGGTATTTCTGATCCATTCTGTGTAAAAGTTTTGCTTTTATTAGCTTTTGTAGTCAATATCACCAGCAACTATTTTCATATAAAGAAACAATGGGGAGAAGGGATCGCAAAGAGCGCATTTTTACAATTAAAGGTTTGGAGACAAAATCCTTCTGTCTAGACAAGTTAACTCTTCCCCTTTTCGGAAATGTATATTTTTCTAGGAAGTCACTGAAAATGCTATTTAATGCATTTTACTGATCCGTGACATGCTCGGGTACGGATCCGGTTGGATCCTATAGATCCGAAGCCGTGTAAACAGGGGGCTTAATGAGATCATCAGGATACTGTTCAGGTAAAAGATATGTAATGTAGATTCAATAAAGACTTCGTTGAAAAATACTCAAGAGAAACAAGTTTTGCTTACTTTTACTAGAGTCTAGATTTAAGTAAGTAAGTCTTTCGCAGGCCCGTACTGTGAATTAGTGGGGAGGGAACGAGACTGGTTGAACTGTATATGCTAATTTTAGTTATCATCAATCGTCAATAACCTTAAACAAATTCGAAGTCAGTTTCAGGGATAGTAACTCACCTTTGTTGTGATTTCAACAAAGACTGCCATATTGTTCTTCAGGTCTTCAACATCTATTATTTCGACAACCTGTCCATTTTCAGACTGAAAGCTTAAGGACATTACTTCTGCAATTATCTTTGGATGTCGATAATGCTTCACATCATACTTGCTTAAACCAGTAGCGTTGGCAATTTTGTTTACGAGGATGTCACCGAAATTTCCGATTATAGCTTCTCTCAGACAATTCCAGTCTTCAAAGCATGTGATTATACGCCTGTATACGGATTCGTTGTGGAGATGCTCAGCTACAACTCTTTTCTGGCGGCGATGGTGATACCCGATTATGTCCAAGAAATCCATTGCAAAGGCAATTCAACCACTTGAAGGAAAGATAACAGTTCAGATCATTATGAAAGTTCTAGCTATTGAACCAACATATAAATGTCAAAGTTCCTTCAGTTTAAACTTCCTTCCTTTTTGTATTTCAGTGTACGATTCATTTAATGTTACTTGTTGCAAAAGTGGTAAAACACAAATTCAGACGAACATCAAACAATTTCACGGATCGCATAAGGCAGTTTATTTACTGCAAGAAGAACTTGTGAACATATTTCCATGGAACCAGGTCTTAATCAGATTTTTAAATTCTTCAGAATTTTGGGCTGTTTTGATTTCATCTGGAAGTGTTGCAGATTTTCAACCCTTGGAAACTGATAGCATAGTATTTCAAACCTTTGGTATCACAAAGAGATTTTGTACACGAAATGTTGGGTATGACTCGTCAGTTTTGGTAAAATATAGTCATTCATAAAATAGGGTTTAGATTTTTGGGAGTTTTTTATATTTCAAATGCTAGGATTCTAATTGATTGAAAATGGATAAAAGTTTCCTTCGAGTTGGCAATAGGATCCTTACAGGAGGATGAATAGTCAGAATACGCTAGTCGTAACGCTCTCTCATTCATTTTCTCTAGCTTATCCTGACTTTCTTTTGCTGCATAACATACATATTAATGGGCATAGTTAAAATTACATACTATAAAGAATCGATTATTATCTATTATTTTCTTTGTCCCCCATATGTCATCCTTCCTTCCTCTTTTTCCTCTTTTGCCTTGTCGATTTGTAAAAATGAGATTTCATTAATCTGGGGCAGAACAAATGACATCTATGAAAAGTTTCCATTGCTGTCTATCTTGGGCAAATTTTCGTAGTCGTTTATTGAAGTAAATTGTTTATTTTGAGGTCTTGTTTTAGTGCATTCTCGTTATCTTGATTGATGGAGATTGGCAAGGTTCTTCTCGGATATTCAGAGTAATTCTTTGCATTTTTCGGCTTTTCGACGTAGTATTTTACTGCATCGTTTGCTGGTGTATTTTCTGATAGGCGTAGTATTTGTCCAAAAAGTTTCCATTTGTTTTTCTTTATCGTTATACTGATGAGTTATTTTTCGTTACATATTTTCCTTAAGTTGACAACAAATCTGAGTTGTCTTCGATGGGTGACATAAATTTCGTGTAGTTCTTTCTTCGTCAAACCCCATGTCCCTGAATTTTAAAGCAATAATGGTTTAACAATTGATTTATATAGTTTCAGTTTCTTTTTCACATGTATCTTTTGGTGCTTCCATACTTTGCTGATAGAGCTGAAACCTGCAAACGATTACTGTATTCTGCGTTTCATATCTTTTTGACATCCTAGCAGACTTCCTAACTTTTTAGTTCTTCTCCATTCTTCTTCTTTCTTATCCCTTCTTCTCGTTATTGTTGTCTCTTCAGTTTTCTCTTCATTTACTTTTAGGTCGAACTCAGCTAGAGTATTATTGCGTATCTTTTGAGATGTTCTTGTTCTTCCTTACCTTCAGTGGGGAAGTCACTATCATCAGCATAAACTAATTCTTTTGGTAGATGAGATGTGAATGCATATGAATGTTCTAAATATGGATTTTGTTGGTATAATTTTGCTTGTAATGATTTTAAACTTTTTTCAAACGCGATGTTAAAGAACGTACCACTGATTGCATCGCCTTGTGTAGATCCTACATTTGTACCAATATCATTATTCTTGTTGTTGCCCAACTGAATATTGATTGTTGTATTGCTGAGGAGTAGCCTTGTCATTCTACATTCGCCTTCATTCAAAAACGTTTGTAATACATCGATTAAGTCATGCCTCTTTATCGCATCAAAAGCAGAAGACATGTCGATTTCCTGTTATGTAGACTTCTATTTCGCCACAATAAATTTAGGCGCCAAACAATATCCCCTGTTGGTCCTAATTGTCGGTAGGCTGCTTGGGATGGTGCAAGGTAGTTGTCTACTTTTCTTGAATTCTACTCAATGTTAATTTCTTGAATTCTTCCCTCCCTTCTTCCTTCCTTTCTTCCTTCCTTCCTTCCTTCCTTCCTTCCTTCCTTCCTTCCTTCCTTTCTTCCTTCCTTCCTTTCTTCCTTCCTTCCTTCCTTCCTTTCTTCATTTCTTCCTTCCTTCCTTTCTTCCTTCCTTCCTTCCTTCCTTTCTTCCTTCCTTTCTTCCTTCCTTCCTTCCTTTCTTCCTTCCTTCCTTCCTTTCTTCATTTCTTCCTTCCTTCCTTCCTGCTTTCCTTCCTACCTTCATTTCTTCCTTCTTTCCTTCCTTCCTTTCTTCCTTCCTTCCTTCCTTCCTTTCTTCCTTTCTTCCTTCCTTCCTTCCTTCCTTCCTTCCTTCCTTTCTTCCTTCCTTCCTTTCTTCCTTCCTTCCTTCCTTTCTTCCTTCCTTCCTTCCTTCCTTTCTTCCTTCCTTCCTTCCTTTCTTCCTTCCTTCCTTCCTTCCTTTCTTCCTTCCTTCCTTCCTTCCTTCCTTCCTTTACTTTACTCGTTTCAGTCTAGTCCCTTAACACAAAACCTCAGATTCTTATTTGCATCCGTATTTCATTTTGTTTCATTTTGTTTTAAAGCGTCCAGACTTTCGAGCTATGGATATCGATATCGAATATGCTTTTTAGCCACCCGTTTTTCTCGCATAAAGGAAACATATGGGCACCGGTTTTGATACTGGCGCATTGATAGCACACTCCAAACTGTCACTTCGAGTGGCTACAGATTTCCTCGAATTTGAATTTATCGGAAATGAATTAGGAAGCTGGGAACTCTGTTGGACTCTTGCGAGGGTTCAATTCAGTATGTAAACAGAAGAACTGTAGTTAGTCAGGGAGAAATGCAGCAATTTAGATAAAAGAGATACATAGCTCTTAGAATTTGACCAGTTTTTTGAAACCTGTGCAACCGGCCTAGATCTGCGCCTTTTCCTTCCTTCCTTCCCTCCTTCCTTCCTTCCTTCCTTCCTTCCTTCCTTCCTTTCTTCCTTCCTTCCTTCCTTCCTCCTTCCGTCCTTCCTTCCTTCCTTCTTTCCGTCCTTCCTTTCTTCCTTTCTTCCGTCCTTCCTTCCTTCTTTACTTTTCTATTTATATTAATTGCTATCATTATAATCATAATCGTTATCAGTGCCGTATCTTTATCGTCATCGACATCTTTATCGCAAAACAATTGTTTACAATGAGATATGAAATAACGATATT